GGCTAACCAAGTTCAGTTATATACACATGCAAATTTTAGTTCTTTAAGTCTCTTTCAAAATCTGTTCATGAGATTTTGAGATACACGGAGTATAGAAAAAGGCTAAATTTACTGGCTTGTAGATGTTTTGAATAGCAGAGGTGATAATTTATTTACACGTGTGATGGTTAATATAATTTTTTGTTCATCAAATTTACTCTTATTTTGGTTTTGGTCTTTCAAATTTCAAATCATATTTAATCTCTCAAGTTTTTTTCATTAAAAATATTGGTCCGTATAATTCAATAAAGATCTAGACTATTTTACCCTTTGAGGGACCAAAACTTATAGTTTAAAATTTAAGAAACCAAAACTAAAATAAGAACAAACTTGAAAGACTAAAGACTATATTAACCCTATATATATAAAATAAGTTTCCAGATCTTCAAATAACTTGTGTGTTTTGAACAGATATGAGCATAGTTTACCGGGAGTAGACGTGTTTGTGTGCACGGCAGACCCAGATAAAGAGCCACCAATGATGGTGATGAACACAGTGTTATCAGTAATGGCCTATGATTATCCTTCTGACAAGTTGAGTGTGTATCTCTCAGACGATGCTGCCTCAGAGATTACCTTCTATGCTTTATTAGAAACTTGTTCTTTTGCTAAGAAATGGCTTCCCTTCTGCAAGAGATTCCATATGGAACCCAGGTCTCCTTCTGCTCATTCGGATGGCTTCTGCTTACCTACTTCTTCAGATCATGATGACGACTCTATTTGGATCCAGGAATTGGCAGCCATTAAGGTAATTAATATGTAGTACAAATCTTTATTTGTTTATGCTTTCTTGTACGATGGGTTTCTCTAATTCCTTCCTCTATGTTATGTCCAATAATGTAGAAACTATATGATGATATGGAAAGACGAATCGAAGATGCAACCAAGTCGGGACAAGTGCCCAGAGACGTACGCTCAATGCACAAGGGATTTTCTCAGTGGGATGCATATTCTTCTCGACGTGACCACGATACAATTCTCAAAGTATATATATAATATCATCAGTATTAATAATTAGCTTGAGCAGTAATGGTTTTAATTCTATTCAACCACTTTGCCTCTTTATCTAATATATATGCTTAATTTGATATAATTCTTATTAGATATTGCTTCATACAAAAGATTCACTCAACTCGAAAGATGCAGATGGGTCTGTTATGCCAACTCTGGTGTACTTGGCTCGTGAGAAGAGATCCCAATATCACCATCATTTTAAAGCTGGAGCCATGAATTCATTGGTATATATATAATGCATCAAGTTTCATCACACAATACATATATACATGCATTCATTTATACACAAGTCATCACGATGGTAATTTGATTTATTGGTTAAAAATGCAGATAAGGGTTTCTTCAAAGATTAGCAACGGGAAAATTATTCTGAACGTGGACTGTGACATGGCGTCTAATAGCTCAGAATCTGTGAGGGATGCACTGTGCTTCTTCATGGATGAAGAGAAAGGCCATGAAATAGCTTTTGTGCAATTCCCACAGAACTTCGTTGGTGTCACCAAGAATGACTTGTATGCGAATCATGTGCAAGTATTCAACAAGGTCAGTTAACAGAATTTATCAAACAATATCCAAGTTGCAGTCTTTGTCCTTTTTTCTTTTTTCTTTTGTTTTTTTTTATGTAAGGTTGGAACTGCAAATTAAGGTTTAGATCTGCGTGGCATATATATGTTATAACCACAAGCATGGTTGATGATTGGGTTAGTTTTTGTATTATTCCTAATTACATTTCGTAAATTGGAAGAAGATTAATTAGTTTAATTTGTGCATGTGATCGAAGTTGGAAGCACATGGCTCTGATGGTTGTGGGGGCTCATTGTATATCGGAACAGGCAGCTTTCACCGGAGAGATATTCTCTGTGGAAGGAAGTTCAATGATCAACACAATACCATTAATGATTGGAACAACGATGATGATGACCAACTCATCATGGAAGAAAGCTTGCAAAAACAAGAACAAGAATCAAAGCCTCTTGCTAGTTGCACCTACGAACAAAACACACTGTGGGGATCAGAGGTCTCTCTCTCTCTCTCTCTGTATATTTGTATGTAATTTCTATTACACAGAGTTTACAATTACTGATAAAGAATAAAATTTTGGGTGTAGATGGGTTTAATATATGGATGTGCAGTGGAAGACGTGATGACAGGATTATCTATACACAGCAAAGGGTGGAGATCAGTGTATTGCAATCCAGAAAGGAAGGCATTCTTAGGAGCGCCATTAACGACATTGGGACAAGTACTGGTTCAGCAAAAGAGATGGGCTGAGGGTGACTTTCAAATTTTGGTTTCAAAGTACAGTCCACCATGGCATGCTTATGGAAAACTCAGTGTAGGTCTCCAAATGGTATACTGTAACTATTGCTTCTGGGCACCTAAGTCCTTGCCAATTCTCTATTACTGCATCGTCCCTTCGCTTTGTCTACTTAAGGGCATTCCCTTGTTTCCAAAGGTACGTATCATCTATCTCTACCTAGCCTACTTATTAATGCTTGGCACAGAATAAGATCAGAATAAATTGTGTTGGTGTGCATTGTTTAATCAGATATCAAGCCCATGGTTCATACCTTTCGCATATGTAATACTTGCGGGAAACACTAGCAGCTTGGTGGAGTTTTTGAGCTGTGGAGGCACGGTTCAAGGATGGTGGAATGAACAAAGAATGTGGCTTTACAAGAGAACAAGCTCTTTCTTCTTTGCTTTCGTGGAGAGTATCTTGAAGCTTCTAGGGTTTCCTCTAGCTTCAGGCTTCGCAATCACTACTAAAGTTGCAGAACAAGACGCTTCCCAACGCTACGAGAAGGAGATTATGGAGTTTAGAGGCTCTTCTCCGATGTTCACTCTCTTGGCAACACTTGCTATGCTCAATCTATTTTGCTTCCTTGGCGTATCAATGGATGCTCTTATAAGTGAAGATGGCTTTATTAGGGTTTTGAAGAGGATGATCTTGCAGATTATGTTGTGTGGGGTTCTTGTTCTCATCAATGTGCCAATATACGAAGGCCTTTTCTTTAGGAAGGACAAGGGAGGATTGCCAACCTCTGTTGCCATTAAATCTACAATATTTGCTTTAAGTGCTTGTGTACTCTTCAAAGCCATGAACTTCATCACTTAGGTCTTAATTAGGCTCTTATATCTTTACCGAAGTTTTAATTAGTTTTTATTATGTTTCATGAATAATATGTTTTTCCCAACATTTGCTAGCAAAAAAGCTCAATAAATGTAGTATGGCAGAGGCCTAATTTGTCGTCTGGTGTTAGATTAATGGACTGAGCCATGTAGGCCTGCTTTGAGTGCTTTCCACAGGTTTAAGTTAAAATCCTATTTCATAGGGGGGGGGGGGGGAAGTGACATCAAGCAGAAGATGCAGCAGGATGGTGACTTTAAAATTCATTGAATGACTAAATAAGTGTACTAAGGATGCGATGACGACAAGTGTATGGATTTCTTCGTGTTATGACCAAAATTTTTTTTTATTTCAAGTAAAAATCAATCATTTATTCACGTGGACGATTCAGAATTTATCAACTTATTCTTACTTTAATAAAAAAAACTAGAATATCCAAATTAGTTCACGCTCATGATTCGTTTAAAGTGAATTATTGTACACACAAGAATGCGTAAATTATTTTACTTACAAAAATGAATGAGAACCAATAATTTAATTGGAATGGTAAGCGATTTCATCTTACAAAAAAGAAAACATAAATTTGAATCTTGAAAAATATACTTGTTAAACGCTCCTAACCTAACAAAAACTAGTCTCGGAGTCTAGCATAATTCTAATTAAAAGCAGAGATAGTGTAAAAGTGGTTTTCCAGCTTTTATTTTTTTGGGGCAGAAGTGGCTTTCTCTAAAAGGAGAGTCTTGCTTGGTGGCATATATGCCATCAAAAATATCAGTTTTAGGGGCTCCAACCTCCAGGTGGGGTACTGCCATAGTGCCATCAAAAGTCTTAATTGCTTAGTGGAGTACTCTTCACAGTGACACTGGAGAGAGAAGTACAATGCAAGATACCCTGCGGAATACTATGCCTCTTGTCTCGACTTTGGAGACCCAAAAAAAAAGAAAAAGAAAGAAAAGAAAGTAAAATAGCAAAGCCGCCATTATTCTTTATGCATGGTTCTTAGCGCTTGACTTGTGAATGAGTGGTCTAGTGGTTGGGAAGCACACTAGATCGCTGTAACAAGAGAACAAGGCCACCGTGTTGCTTCTAAAGATACCATATTCAAGTCTCTCCAGGGTTCTCTTTTAGATTCAGGTGTCAGAGTCCTTTTCTCAACAAGAAACAAGGAAACATAGTTTTACTTTTAGTCTTTTACTGTCATTTTGGTCAATGTCGTAACTTTGAGTGAAATACACAGTTACAATACGCATGAATACATTCACCATTGTCTTTAACAAGAACCAATTGAATTCAAAAGATCAATTTTGGCGGAGAAGAAATGTAATTACCAATAACTCGATAAAAAGTTAATGACAAGTTTCAGTATAACAAATGATAACAAAATCCTTGCTGCTCACCCTGTCATTAAGACTTTTAAATAATTACACTATTTTACTTGAAACACATGTCTAATGAAGTCGGAGTTACGAAAGGCTATATAGTTTTACAGATACTTCCAAGGCCCAAAAGATACCAAGGGTTCAGCACCTGCAGGCCCATCCTATTCGTCCAAGACATGAAGGCAAAACCAATAACACAGGTTGTTAGCAGAATGAAAGATACGCACATCACAGGCAGTTTTATTGGCCCCAAGCCAATTATTTCTAACCACTTGATTTAATCATTTTGTTATAATTTGAAATATCTCCAATTAATTTGCTAACCAACCAAAAAATAATCTATTTCCCTAGTTTGAAATCGAATCGAAGTATGAGCTGGGAAAAGACAGCCAGCTAATGACAACCGACCAACAATGATAGAAACAGGCTAAGAGAGGTATCAAATTCTAAGCTTTATCCAGGCAATAAAACCAAGGGAATAAAATCAGTTCATAAAATAAAGCAGGACCTCGGTCCATGGTCCAACAATACGAGGTGCCCGACAGGGTTCTCTATAGTTCATAACAAAGGACGAGGCGAAACAGTAAGCAATCTGCGATTCTAACAATAAACCACAACATTAATACACATAGATACAAATAATAATAGTCTGTCTTCTTTGCACACCCCCAAACTGCAACTCAGTACTATGGCAAATAATCTTCAAACCCCCTGCAGAATTCATCTAAAGCTCCTATGTCTTCGAGATAATTTAGGGGTGGAACTAGTTACACAAATTTTTCTTCTGTTCACCGCTTTTACACCAGGGCAACCATTGTTGCTATGACTCTGCAGGAGGTTGCATGCAGCAGAACCATTTTTTCTGAAAACCCAGAGAAACCATTCAAGAAGGGGTATAGGTGAGTAAATGCAGCCTGATTGATGATTATTTCTTTCCATTTCAACAGCTAAACTCTAACAAACCAACTGCAGTAAAACGACCGAACCCCACCCCTTCCCCAAGAACAGGATGAACAAAAGAAGAAAAGCTACCAGGATAACAGATGGAAGCATGCACAACTATCAATAAGAAGAATAAGTTTTGACAGTGAGGTCAAACAAAGGACCCCTACGTTAGATCAGCCATACAGAGACAAAAATATTAGATTCATCAGACACAGCCTACTTCTCTTTTCCTCTGGGTGTTGACAATTGCCCCCTCACCTCCATCCTAACCAGAGTTTATTATAAGGGAAATTATATCTCAAATTCAAATGCAACAGTATTGTGGATGCGACCCTCAATAAAGTTGCAAGGCATAGAGATCTACTGTAGTTATGAACTGTACTAACAAAGAAAACAGTAGAGGTTATAACCTATATAGATCACTGTTTTAACAACAGGTCTTGGATCCAGTTGGCAAAGGCTTGGGTCCTGACTATCTTCTCTGTCAAAATATACAATAGATCACTTCGACCACTATATTGTTTCTTAAATACATACATGCATGCATACATGCAAACGAACAAATAAATAGCAGAATCAGTGTAAACGTAAGCTTAAAAAACCTTTCATCTAATCAAACCAGCATCTTCAAGAGGACAAAATACATCTCATTGAATAACTTGAATAAGTTCAGAAACAGACAATTCTACGAAAAAGTAAGATTCAACCAAGAACAGCTTACACTCTGCGTTTTGGCAGGTTCTACTGCGGGCCTGCTTTGAGGATCAGCCTTTCCAGGCGACTCAGGTTTGCCACCTGTCTTTTTCTCATCCCTAGCCTTGTTAAATATCACGGTGAATCCTTCAGCTGAGGCAGGATCATTGACATCCCATTCACCAAATTTTGGCAGTGGCCGACCCTTTTCCTGAGGGATAATCAGATAAGTAACCATTAAATTACAGACTCCAAAAGTAGAACATACATCCATGTTATGCTTAAGCATTTGAAAATCCAGAGAACTTTTAAAAAGTAACTTTTATTGGCAAGGAAACCTGCCATCATATAAGGTTCTTGAAAGTGCTAAAAATAACTAAATATGAGCCAAACGGTAAAGAACAAGTAATTTCAAATGCTACAAACCAAATAAAAAGGGCACTTTTATGACTATTTGCTGGATACAATCAACTTCTAAGCAACTCATTAAAGGAGAAATTCACAGAAAACCAATGTTTCTGTAATGAAAGTACATTACAATAGTAATTATCTATGGAACAGAAGATTATCCATGGAACTTTGAAGATTTTCCAATATACTAAGGATATGGAATCTACAATCATTTAGTTCCCAACCATAATCTTGAGTGATGATTCTTCCATCTAAACTCTGAGACAAGTTTTGCATAATACAACGAATACCAATCAATTCTATTCATAAAAAGACAACAACTGCATGTACATCCAACACATTCTTTTATGAATGGTGAATTAAGCTAAGGACAATTAAATGTTTGGTCTAGAAATGCAAACATCCCACAAAGTTTACTTGACAGCATAACCACACCTACTTAAGGTATTATCCTACTAAATTCCAGTCCCAATACTGAAGACCACTGACACAGAAATAAAGCTAATAGATGAAATTGTGATTAAAGCAACCATCCTTGCCAGTTTAAATCAAATCTGGTCTCTATCCTGGTACAGAGGATTCTAAAATTTTGGTAAACGAAAAAACAATCAGGACAAGTGCTTCATCTAACTCAGATTTTACTTTCAGGCCAAAATTGACACATCAGAATCACAATTTTTTTCCCTTTTTAAGACAACAAAGCTGCAAACGCAGCAGTAGGAAAATACTGTGTTGAACCAATATCAAACAGATGAGAACTCCAAAGTTCACCAAAAATAATGAAGAAGAACCAATTGTTGCAAACAATATCTCAGAACATGTGGTTATACTACAAAAATATCTTGAAGTTAAATTGAATTTTTACATTTACTTCCATCAACCTCAAATCCCCATATAACAGGATTACAGAAACGAACCGTATATAACCTATTGATTTGAATTCATATGCTGAAGAGCAGCATACCAAGAATAATTTGCTCCGTCACTACACAATTTCAATTCAGGAACATATACTCAAAACGTGGCAGCCTTGCTAATTCGTAGGAGCCGTAATCTTCCATATTCTTATAATGGAGCATCAGATCAAAACTCTTATCAAAGTCGAGTGTTGTGGACAAAATGATACAACTTTTCAAAAGTATCATAACCAATAAACAAAACTTGAAAAAACTTAGGGGAATTCGATAGCATGAACTTCCTTCATTAATCACAGATCATATTACAAGACGGACATCACAGGAAATTTAGTTCAGAAATAACACCAGCTTCGACAATCCAAGAAATTTCATATACATCACACCCCCACCAAGTGAAAAACAAAAGAAGGAACTTTAGAGCTAATCATCGACGTCTTCAAACTAAATAATGGAAAAAAGGATCATATTCCGAAAATCCATAAATTAAAAAAAATGAATACATCGAACCTGCATAAATCGAAACATCATTTGAACCAAAAGGGAATAACAGATACAAAACGGAACCATCTAGGCAAACGGGGAACAAACTGAACATGAATCTTCGATCAGAAATCGTATGCAACGGAGCAATACAAATGGCAATAATCAGAAAGGAAATCATCCCAATACATCAATATATATTCAAAAGAAGAGCGGAAGAAAATAGAAATGATTAAAAGATTCCACATACCGACATCAATCCTGGAGAGAAAAACTTTTCCGGTGAAGGCAAAAAAAGAGTTCGAAATGGCAATATATAAAAGGAATAAGGAAGAAAATTCAGAGAGAGAAAGAAAGAAAGATGAAGCACTGTGACATGGAGCAAAATGATTTGTATAAGTTTGGGCCAAAAATGGGCCTGTCCCGACGGAGTTTTGGAGTATTGGACGGTTTTAAGGAAACGGCGTTACAGTGCTCCTCCATTTTGGCTTGGCACGAACGCCGTTATGTGTAAAACGGGAACGGAAAGATGGAAATCTGCCGTTAAATCCAGAGTCAGCACGGCAAGGTGACAGATACCGAGGAAGGGTTAAAAAAGAACGGAATTGATGAGCTGGCAAACGGAAATCATCGACGACGCTGTATTTTTTTTTTCTTTTCTTGGAAGGTGAGGCGTCTTGGGGCTCGCCTCTGTGGGCAGCCTGTCCATATCGATTCATATAAATCTATAATTTAGAATTTAGAATTACAATATATTTTATTTAAAAAAATTGCTGAAAATTCATCATTAAGAATTTATTGACCAAACGTATCCGAAAATTTGTGAGTTCTTAGCTACATACAACTCACACAACATATTTTTAATTATGTGTAAATATTTTTTATTTGGGGACTAAAACAAAATGAATCTTTAATTTTAATGGTGCAACTCTCATTCAACTATTTGTGATATATATTTAATTATGTGTAAAAAATTTCAAAGTAGAATAAATTCTCACATATTTGAGATTTTTGTCACACACTAATTAAAAATAAATTGTTCCCGTTCAACAACCTACCGATTTCAAATATCCTGGGCAATAAAATTTTCATTAGGGATTTTTCAACAATTTTTTCTTTATTTTATCTGTAATAAATTTATGAAAAGTCCCCACTTACATAAATTTGTCTTTAATATAATATTTTTATGAAAAGTCCCCAATAAAACTCAACACTTATAATCTATACAGGCTCTCCTCACTATAGTTATCATATTTTATTGCAATTATGTGTTATAATCTCCACATCAAAAACCCAAGTTATATTGGCATTTTAATTTAATTTGTCTTTTACCGATTTATTAGTTTTTATTTTGTTTCAAGAAATGAGTACCGTCTCCCACGTCTTCCTAGGCATTTCGTGGATTGCAATGCAATGTTGGAATTTGCATCGATAAAGATATTTTATATTTCAGTCCAAAAAGATATTTTATATTAAAAAAAAGGATTCCAAATTTTTTTGACCGAAAAAGGATTGCAAATTGAAAAACAAAATATAAGCTTTCTAAAACTCTTACTCCTAAAAATTTTGGACAACTCTGTTTGATTTAATTTCTCAGTTTAAAAATTAAATTTGAGTGCGACAACACGAATCATAATCCTACTGATTTGAAGAAATTTTATTCCTTAAGACGAAAATAAATAATGATGATGATTATAATGATAATAATAATAATATTTTTGGCCTTAATAATAAATATTGATTGAACTTATAAATAGACAAGTAAAATGAGACAAAATCTTTCCTTCAAAAAGACTTATATTTTGAAACGATCAATGGAGTAAAAGGATCAGATAATGATGGCAAAAAAAATATAATAAGCCGAATTAAATTTGACAATTTTAAATATATTTTACATTAAATTTTTTATATGTATTATGTCAATTTCTTCTTTTTTTGTGAATAAAAGTTTAGATGAATTGGGTCTCGGGAACTCACCAGGACCAGGGCATGTCTTCAGGTTAGAAAGCGTTTATAGAATTACTTACAAATTGTCCACCACAAAGTTCTCACGTCGAGAGCGGGATTCAAACTCACAACCTTGTGGGTTATAAATCGACTCCTCACCAATTGAACCAACTTTTGTTTGTTGTGTCAATTTCTTTAATTATACATAACCATGTGACTAAATTTTAAAATATTAATATTTAATTATAAATTCAAATAAAACAAAGGAACAAGTATGATTAGAAAACTTGATATAATAGATATAAATAATCTGTTGTAAGTTTTGTTCTTTTAAAACCTCTAATTGTACAAGCATTTCTTGTGAATTAGATTGCATTTCCTTGTTTAACACATGATGGAGGGAGCACTGATCAGATTACTGCTAATAAAAAAGGATGAATATGTACTTATGTAAGACGGTGATTGAAAAAAAAAGAAGGGAATAGAAAGCGATAAAGATTTTTTTTTTTTTTAATTTTGATGTTAACATAAAGAGATTCTGCAAATTTAAGATGAAGCTGCGTTGCTCTTTAAAAAGAGACGTGGTCAACATGCCCATCAAAAAATGACAACCCCAACATTAGTTGTAGAGTCCTCGATAGTGATTGATCTTTGACAAGATATGTCATGAAAATACAACTAGCACATTCCCATGAATAAGTTTAAGAGATTCCCAACAACAACAACAAATTTAATTTGTAAGAAAATAAAACTTTTTTTTAGATATTTTTTATTAAAAATTTAATAATTTTAATATTCTTTTTATGGAATTCTCCCAATAAGCCTTCCGTTGTTTGTTTTAAATTAAAATACCAATTATATAAAATTACAGAGTACATCTCAGGATGAGAAAGAATGAGCAGAAATAGATTTAAGCAGAAAATTGACATATTTTTCAAGCACCACTAGAATCAAAATGAACAAGAAGATTGAGGTTACTGCAAACATGATCGAAGTTACCATTTGCCACTAACAGAAAAGCATTCATAGCACTAAAACTCCATTCATAACAATACTTTCAATTAAAGTGGCCCTCTATGAAAATAGCAGAAGAATAACATTTCATGTCCTCGTTACAAATATTCATGTCAGGCGGCAACTTTCCTGATGTGAAAAGCTGTGTTGAGATTAATTATTTAATGAGATCCTGAGATTGTAATTTTATGGGATAAAGACAATCAAATGCCAAAACTTCAAATTCATTACGGTTAGGTTCTCAGAAGATTTTGTTAAAAAAGTTAAAAATATTAATTTTGATAATTATTAATATAAGAGTTTAAGTTTTAAAAAGAAGTATGAATTAATAACAATGAAATATCATAATTCACAACTAAAATTTGAATCTTTCCAATTGTTATTTTCAACTTATTATGCAAAGTTTTTTTTTTAAGGAAATTAAACTATGATTAAATTGAAGTTCTCAGACCTAATTATTATTCTCCTTCTCCAAAATCCACATAGACACAAATTACATTATGCATTCATCTGGTTATATGTTGAACAAATTTTTTGAAATTCTAATTGGTTGCTCTAATATTAAGCTAAAAACTTAATTTAAACCAAAGAGTTGAAAATGTTAAATTTCATCACCTAATTTGTAAATCGACCGGGAAAATCGACCGGAAGTGAAATATCGAAATTTTTTTAGAGAGAATTATAATGAGGTCCAAGCAACAAAAAAATTAAAAAACAAGTTTCAGAGGTTGTCATTTCCTCTGTAAGACTTGTCGTTATAAGCTGTTCAGATTGTTATTGAGACTTTTTAATAATTATTTCTGGGATTTGATTCTAATTCTTCCTTTTTTTTTTTATCCTCAAGGGTCCATGGTATCGGCACTGGGGAGGAGAAGATAGAAGCTAAACATCAATGGCGCAATTGCTGTGCCTCGGTCTCTATTGCCCCCTCCAACCCAACAAAATTTCAGCTTCTTCTTCTAAGGCCCTGAAGCTTGGTGAGTCAACCAATGGGTCAAAGATATCCATTTCCACAACCAGAAAAGGTAGCTCAAGTTCCCTTAAAAAAGTCATTTTTCGGATTCTTGCTTCTATTTAGTGAGTGAGAATTATAATTTCACTGAATTGTTCAGCTTTCACTGCTTCTCTGGCTTATTACTACTGAAACTGACTGAACTCCAGGTGCTGCCAATCGCTTGCTCAAAACCCGGAAGCTGAATTTGGAGGTTTCTCCTCACAGAGCAGGTATACTTGTCTTTGTCTCTGCTCTGCTATCACTTACTCTTACTATTTAGCTGGAGTCACGCTACTTAAGGAGAGTGTCACTTGTTAATCGGATTCATCCTTTTTCAATTTTATCTACTACGTGCAGTATCAGCGGTTAGGTTGATGAGGATAGAGTTTGGAGGTGCTTTTGCTGACCTTCTCAATGAGAAAGGCAAAGGTTCAGGTGAGAATGAGATGGCATATGTTGAAAGAACTCTTGGCTTCCGCACCCGGCAGTTAAACGATCAAGATCTCAGGCTGGTTGTAACTTCCACTTCATTCTCTGGTTTTCATTTTGTACTTTGAATGCTATTTATTAATTAGACTGAATCTAGGTAAATTATTTTTAAACCCATCCAAAACAGTTGTACTCCTCCGGTCCTTAATATAAGACCCATTTAACTAATTTGATTAGATTAAGGAAGTTAGGTAAGTTAGTTAATTATAAGAAAATTGACACATTTTTCTAAAACACCATAATCATCTTTCTTAATACCCCTCACTCTCTCTTTTACTTAATTATGGTTGAGGGAGTATCTATAGGGGTAATTTAGAGAAAATTGATAAATATGATAAATGGGTCTTATATTTAGGACCAAAATCAACTCAAAAATTGGGTCCTATATTAAGGACCGGAGGAGTATTATGGTAGATCTATTAAGTTCTTATCTGTCCTGCAGCACTCATGAGTCACTGTATTGATTTTTTTCTTTTCCATTCTTGTTTTCAACTAAGGTTACAGACATTGTAGGGGGAACAATTCGTTGGAGAAGATATCTTGATCATTTGATTAGTTCAATAAGTCACGATAAAGATATATCTAGCATGGAACCCCTACTGTTGCAGGTGATTTAAGGTTCTGTACTTCTTGTGAACATGTTTATACAAGTCATCTAATTATATGAAAAAATTATTATACAAGTAAATGGGATTAGACAAGAATATTTTGAATCATGACTCTCACGCGGTTCATCATGATCGAATATAGATTTTGTATGTGAAACCATGGAATTTGTCATCTACTCTTTGAGCACCTAATTACTGATCTTAGTGTTTTTTTCATTCTCAGATTCTACGGGTTGGCTTCTATGAGATTGTCCAGTTAGATATGCCACCTTATGCTGTTGTTGATGAGGTAATTTACTTGCTCATTTGTGTATTGTTT